ACCGCGAATTAAGTAAATATTTGCGCCTGATACTTGTTAACCCAAATGGGGGCGAAAATGTGCGTAGGCTAAAGTTAATTACCCTGAGGTGACTTGTTACCATGTAAGTTTTGGCCAGACATGTTGGGATCTAATATTTGCTTGGTCTCAAATTTCTCAAGAGGAAAAAAAAATAATGTTAACCAAACATAGATAGCTTTATTTTAAATTTGCTTTATCTTGGGCTTTTAAAACATTGTTGTATTATGGGTTCGATTACTTTTCGTAACTTTTTAGACAACTCTTTTTTCGCCAAGAAAAAGGTTAGTTCCACCTTTAAAATACATGTGTGAGTGCAATTGCTTGACTTATCGATTTCCTGAACTGCATACAAATGAGTGGGAATGGCCTGTAAAGTTTGAAGCTTTTACTTGTCATAATGGTGAATGTGCCCCTCTCTTTGCCACGCTCTTTGTGCAGTTACCCCCGACTTATCTGTCTGAAGACCCATAAACACGCACATTCCTCCGGTACTTCAGATAAAGATTTATATGTTTTCGGGGGAAAGGCCTCACAGATACTGCATTTTCCGTGCAAGTATTTCGAGTATTTCGTAATGCCCGAGAACGATAAAAAGTTTAAAACGGCTTAAGTGAGCCAGCCCCACACCGCTTGAAGCCCGACTAAATCCCCTTAAAAACCCCTCTTTTTCACCGATGACGACACACATTCTATTATAATTAAATATCTGTCTGCCCGCTCAGTTGCAACGCAAGAGAGAGCCGCTCTCTCTGCGGAGGTAAGAGAATCGGAGCCCCCAAAGAGTACGGCCAACAAAGAGAGTCTCCGGCGCAGAGAACTTTCTTTTCGATTTTGTTTTTGTTTTCTTTTTCTTCGCTCGCCGAGAACGTCGAGATACTGCCGTGTGGGAAAAGTTCATTGACACTTGAAAAACATTCAGTCACTCACTCACACAAAGCCAGTCGGGTTACTCACTCACTCATCATCTGTCACACATTTCTCCAATCCGATACAAAAAAAAGGAAAATAAAAAGCGTCAGCGCTTGGCACATTTTTCAAGCTACGCTTGTGTTGGTGTTGCTTTTTGTTGTCTATTTTTTTGTTAGCTCCCTCGCTGCCGACGTCGACTTCGCTGCCAGCGTCTCAGCCGGCGTCGCTGCTGCTGCGGAGGCTGCTGCGTCGGCATTCGTATTTGTGTGCGTTCGGTTCAGCGCGCATCTTTCATCCTCGTGGGTAAATACAAACACAAATACGCAAGGCAAAGCGCCTAGATTACACAATACCGCCGCCAGACGAGACCAATCTGCCCGCTCGCGCTCTCTCCCTCGCTCCTTCACTCTCTCGCTCTCGCGTACTGGCTTTTAAGTCTACACTGGGCTGCAAAAAAATCACGCTCGAGAAAATGCAGTTTAATAAATATGTAAATCCCTTTGTAAAAATATATGATTCAAAATAATAAGAAATGGGAATCTCATTTTTAATTATGTCATGATCGGGGCTCACTTTGCTTAAAAGAATATGCAACAATGAACACATTTTTATCTCATAGGTTCGTACCAGATTGAATCAATCATTTTTTGCAATTAATTCACGATATGGTTTTAATATGCTAAGATTTAATAAAACACATAAGAAATATTAAATCTTTTCATCAGCCCTTAAAAATGATCGTGAATTTAAATTATAGAAAGTAGGGTTTTCTTTCACACTCTATATTTCAAGTTAGGCAAGTTGCAAATAAATTTCATATAATTTATGGTCTGATATGTATTATAAATAAATAACTGGTTCCGTTAATAAAAACAAGAAAGGAAGCTAGCTTCGGCCAGCCGAAGCTTATATACCCTTGCAGATCATTCCTATTAATTAACAAATCGCAAAAATGTTAATTTTCTAATATTTCTCATTAATTTTCCGATCGTTCCTATGGCAGCTATATGATATAGTCGTCCGATTTTGATCAAATTAAAATTGAAATTCGGAAATATTTAAAAAGAGTCATATCCTAGAGTAGAAGATAATACAATAAAAATCAAAGAAGCTAGAATTTATTTCCTATTACTTTTCCATTAATTTTCCGATCGTTCCTATGGCAGCTATATGATATAGTAGTCCGATTTTTTAAATAATTAATTCGAAATTCAGAAATATTTAAAAAATAACATCCCCAAAAGTAGAAGGTAATATTTCAAAAAACACCGAAGCTAGAATTTTTTAAAGTTTTTTTCTTCCGATCCTTCCTATGGGAGCTATAAGATATAGTTGTCCGATCCGGTCGGCTCCGACATATATACTACCTGCAATAGAAAGAAGACTTTTGCGAAAGTTTCGTCCCGATAGCTCAAAAACTGAGAGACTAGTTTGCGTAGAAACAGACAGACGGACAGACGGACAGACGGACAGACGGACAGACAGACAGACGGACAGACGGACAGACGGACATGGCTAGATCGACTCGTCTTGTGATGCTGATCAAGAATATATATACTTTATGGGGTCGGAAACGTCTCCTTCACTGCGTTGCAAACTTCTGACTGAAATCATAATACCCTCTGCAAGGGTATAATAAATAAAATTAAACCAACCAGAGGAGAATACTTGTGCAGGCCAGTGTAACTTGCGGCAAACTTTAATTCTCTTCGTGAACCAGTTCTCAGCGATGCGATGGTGCACTGCTGTTGATCAGGAAATTGCATCACTGCTGAAAGGATTGCGGCCTGCAAGGGAAATCCGAACAGCTGTCGCTCTATCTCCCTCCCCCTCTGCCAGGCCCTCCCTCCCTTATCCGCAGTCGGGGTATTCGTATTCTTTATTGTCTGGGCAGACAAGTGGCTTAAGGTACCGCCTGCATTGTGCTGCATGGATAATACATTACAGTATTGCGCAATAGTTCTCTGGGGTCGAAGTGGCTTTGTCTGAACTCCGACAATGGATAGGCTGGCATCGGGAAATCCATTGATTGTAATTGCGGGGCGTTGACTATCCGAAATTTCTTAAGTCCTCCAACTCCAAGATATTCGTGAAAAATCTGCCTTACTGCTTCAAATTATTGGAAACTTTACTTTTCAGACTTTGTTTTAAAATCAAAATAATTATAGTACAAGATTTTTAAGTTGCTTACCATTGAAAGTTTTAAAATAAATAATCGAGAATGATTTCTGTCGTATTTGGATTTAGCACACCGAAATACATTGGGAACAAATCACTATGGACGGCAGTCCATGTAGTGACGAAGCGCACCAGGAGAGTGTGCGAAGGCGACTACTATATATACACGAAGAAATGAAAATCTACTGTGATGGTCCGATCATAATGAATAATACACCTATCGAAAGGTATTGCGAAAACTAACAGGATTGCATACCAAGACTTTAAGAAAATCAATTGGCTTGGGAGAGAGAGCGGTGAAAGTGAAAAAGTGAAAATTTCGAAATTTGGAGCTGTTGGGGCCGGTGGGGATAAATGCCCCCTCGCAATGTTTTAGTTGTATTCCTTTTGAAAATACCCGTCGAATGAGGGGTCATTTGTCAAAATCCGACTCTCCGTTCAAAAGTTATAGCCAAAATAAGATTTTCTTCTTCTTCCCAAAATGAAAATTTAATTCTGTTTGTCCACTTGTCCAAAATATGTTTTTTAAGTTCTGAAAATTTGATATGACGTTCATCACATCGATATAAAAAACTTTTGTTCTACCACTTTTGGAAAAACCCGCTAGTTTAGCGGGAAAACAGCTATAAGTAGCTAAATTTCGGAAAGCCGTAACTTCTATACTACTAAAGCTACAGGCTTGTGCTGCATCTCGTTTGAAAGGTATTTTTAAATGCTATAAACGCCTTCTATATGCAATTTGTGTAAATGTAATACTTAAAAAAATATGAACAAAAGACAATTTTTTAAAACTTTTTTTTTAGCTTTTTTATTAATTTTTTTTTCAAAAACGGCTCTAACGATTTTCTTTAAAACCTTAAACTGTATAGCCCTTGAGATTCCTTAAATTTTGGTATATAACACATTACTGTAAAAAGTCACGTTTAAAAGTTATTTTTATTCGAAAATAGCCACTTTTGCCAGCTCGAACAATTAACGCTCCCTGAGTATTGAATTTTGTGGGAGGGTATCCGAACTGTACTTTAGGGTCATGGAATCAGTAAATTTGCACTTAAGAGTTCCATATAGGAATCTTTTGTTCTACGACTTTTGGAAAAAGCCGCTACTTTAGCGGGAAAAAGCTAAAAATAGCTAAATTTCGTTAGTTTGTAAGTTCTACACTACTAAAGGTACAGACATGTACTATACCTCGTTTAAAAGGTATTTTGAAATACTTCAACGCCTTTTTAACTTAATTTGTTAAAATACAATAGTTTAAAAATTATGATTGACCAATTTAAATTTAAATGTATATATTAGCTCCTATGAGAGCAAATGTAAACAAACAAAAACTTCTGATATCAAATAAAAACACCTCTTAACGAGGTAAAAAACTAGTGACGACCGCACCTTCAACATACAAAAGTTCTGATATCAACATTTGTGACGAAAAATTATTACACTCGTCATTAAATAGACTTTCTAATCTTTTCTCATTCGTCACGCTGCAATAGAAAATGCCTGTAAGGGGAAAAAGGCTGGAATAGTTTGCTAGGGCGGGCCGAATGAGAAAATATTAGAAAGTCTATTTAATGACGAGTGTAATAATTTTTCGTCACAAATGTTGATATCAGAACTTTTGTATGTTGAAGGTGCGGTCGTCACTAGTTTTTTACCTCGTTAAGAGGTGTTTTTATTTGATACATTATTTACAGTGCATTTGATGATCCAGCATGCCTATCGGTATTATTTATCATTAAGAGACTTTAATTAGGTAATGTTTAATAATGTCATTTATTTAAAGAAAATTCCTTAGTAATGTAGGATTCACATTCTATTAAGTGTATTAGATGCTCCCTAGAATATTATTTATTCACTTTCCTAACACATAATTTCCCATTCTATCGTTGCAGCTCAAATTGAGATAATTCCATGCAAAGTCTGCGGCGACAAGTCATCCGGCGTGCACTACGGCGTGATCACCTGCGAGGGCTGCAAGGGATTCTTTCGAAGGTCGCAGAGCTCGGTGGTGAACTACCAGTGTCCGCGCAACAAGCAATGTGTCGTGGACCGCGTTAATCGCAACCGCTGTCAATACTGTAGACTGCAAAAGTGCCTAAAATTGGGAATGAGTCGTGATGGTCTGTAAAAAGTGTTGAGCGGTGCACCCAGAGAAATTAGCTAGGAGATTCAATTGATATTGCTAGTCATTTCCTGTTAGGAAGTAGTGGTGTGCCATAGATATTTATTTGTTCACTGATATTTTAAGAAAAAGGGATTTTAAATTACCTTAGTAGATCTACCCAATTGGCTTTCCTTATTTTTCTCTGGGTGCCGGTGAGCAGTTTGCACACTGCATTAATGTATTAATCCCGCCCCCTTGACCACGCCCCTTTGCAGCTGTAAAGTTCGGCAGGATGTCCAAGAAGCAGCGCGAGAAGGTCGAGGACGAGGTGCGCTTCCATCGGGCCCAGATGAGGGCCCAAAGTGACGCGGCACCCGACAGCTCCGTCTATGACACGCAGACGCCCTCGAGCAGCGACCAGCTGCATCACAACAACTACAATAGGTGCAGTATTATGACCGATATGAGAACGACCCCCCCAATATTGATTCGCCCCTGAATACCTTCGACACCCTTGACCATCTTGACCTTTATCTGGTGACCTCGCTCTTTATCTCCCTCCTCTCGTCTGCTTTTCTCTCCCCCGTCTGCCTGCATCACCGATCCCGACCCGTAATGCCCTTCTTGTCACTCAGCTACAGCGGCGGCTATTCGAACAACGAGGTGGGCTACGGCAGTCCCTACGGCTACTCGGCCTCCGTGACGCCCCAGCAGACCATGCAGTACGACATCTCGGCGGACTACGTGGACAGCACCACCTACGAGCCGCGCAGTACAATAATCGATCCCGAATTTATTAGTCACGGTGAGTGGGGAGTCCCTAAAAAAGTACTTGAAAGGGATCGGTACTTAAAAAATAATACAAATTAATTTGTCTTCAATTGGGGGCTATAAAGACTTGGTCTAACTTTATTGAGATTTATACTAAAAAATAAAGTTGATTACCTTTTTTAGAAATAGTGCTTTAAAGAATTCTATCTCAACATTTTCCAAATACATACAAATAAATTATTGCAAAGAGATATCTCCCACATTTGATAAAATTTGTAATAAAACAAGAGAGAACGCTATAGTCGGGTTGGTGTCCCGACTATCTAATACCCGTCACTCAGCTAAAGGGAGTGCGAACGCTGTGTCGGGTTGGTGTCCCGACTAATAATCGTAACTCAGCTAAAGGGAGTGCGAGGGAGATAGATATATGTTGACAATTTATAAAGCGTATAACTTTTTAATGAATGGTCCGATTTGAAAAATGTCTTCTACATTTTGATAGGTATAAATATACACAACAAAATTGCATTTATACTTCTCGAAAATCTTTAAAGATGTGGGCGCAGGACCCAATTTAAAATCGTTAGTGGGCGATTGTGGGCGTTAGAGGGGGCGTGGCGCTCGGCTAAAATAAACTTGCGCTGCGTAGGAAGCCAAAGAATATGTGTGGGAAATCTCAACCTTCTAGCTTTTGTAGTTTCCGAGATCTCAGCGTTCATACAGACAGACAGACGGACAGACAGACGGACAGACGGACAGACGGACAGACGGACAGACGGACAGACGGACATGGCTAGATCGACTCGGCTAGTGACCCTGATCAAGAATATATATACTTTATGGGGTCGGAAACGCTTCCTTCTAGCTGTTACATACTTTTGCACGAATCTAGTATACCCTTTTACTCTACGAGTAACGGGTATAAAAACGTAATCTCTTTGGTGATTAATGTTATAAAATATATTTATTACGAAAATGTACATAATATTGTGTAAAGTAAAATTGATAAATACTTTTCTATATCTTCTCAGCGGATGGCGATATCAACGATGTGCTGATCAAGACGCTGGCGGAGGCGCATGCAAACACAAATACCAAACTGGAAGCTGTGCACGACATGTTCCGAAAGCAGCCGGTGAGTGTTAGCCAACAAACCCCGAAAGTATACATTGGATAACAGAGCATTTAATTATTCCTCGCCGTGTAGGATGTGTCACGCATTCTCTACTACAAGAATCTGGGCCAAGAGGAACTTTGGCTGGACTGCGCCGAGAAGCTTACACAAATGATACAGAACATAATCGAATTTGCTAAGCTAATACCGGGATTCATGCGCCTGAGTCAGGATGATCAGGTAATCTTGTGTCCTTGATTGCCATGAATGATTTACCAATGCCCCGTTTGTCCCCAGATATTACTGCTGAAGACGGGCTCCTTTGAGCTGGCGATTGTTCGCATGTCCAGACTGCTAGATCTCTCACAGAACGCGGTACTCTACGGCGATGTGATGCTGCCCCAGGAGGCGTTCTACACATCCGACTCGGAGGAGATGCGTCTGGTGTCGCGCATCTTCCAAACGGCCAAGTCGATAGCCGAACTCAAACTGACTGAAACCGAACTGGCGCTGTATCAGAGCTTAGTGCTGCTCTGGCCAGGTGGGCTTTCCTCACTGCTTTCTGTATTTAGCTTCTTATTTATGTTGAATTTCTCTCATCATTAGAACGCAATGGAGTGCGTGGTAATACGGAAATACAGAGGCTTTTCAATCTGAGCATGAATGCGATCCGGCAGGAGCTGGAAACGAATCATGCGCCGCTCAAGGGCGATGTCACCGTGCTGGACACACTGCTGAACAACATACCCAATTTCCGGTAGGTGAATAAGGGATACTCACGGTGCTTCTCAAAAGAGACGTATTCAATGTATAGAACAAATTGTAAAGTCAATACAGAATTCGATAGAACATTTAATTAAAAACGACCAAGCCAATGATATAAAATTTAATTTTATATGACTTTTTGTAATGACTACAAAAGTCACAAAATTGTAATTTAATTATTTCAGTTTTTGTTAAAGTATAGGCTTTAAAATTGGCTAAGCTATTCATTTTAATACTTTTATTATAAAAAGAGAGAGAAATTTTTGCTTATCTTCACATAAAGTAATTTCGTTGAAGCACTTAGTATACCTTATCCATATTTGAAACACACATGCTGATAACACCCTTTTTTGTGTAATTTTCCAGCGACATTTCCATCTTGCACATGGAATCGCTGAGCAAGTTCAAGCTGCAGCACCCGAACGTCGTTTTCCCGGCGCTGTACAAGGAGCTGTTCTCGATAGATTCGCAGCAGGACCTGACATAACAAGAGCAGCAGCCGTTCCTGGAGACGACCGCGGACGACGTTGCCGAGGACGCGGCTGCCACTGGATGCGTCCTGCCGCCGGTGGTGCCCCCTGCCGGGCAGCAGCCGCCGCTGCTCGAGGACTGAGGGCCGCAGGATGCGGCAACAATAATTATTTGAGTAAACACTGCACTGCGATTGCAGCAGATACAAGAACTTTATCATGATTTAAGCTAGCATACAACCAAGGATGTGATCCTCGCCAAGGACTCACTTAAAAAGAACTCTATCTATATACATATATATATTATATATGACAGAGCGGATGACGCAAAGGGAAGGGAAAATATTTAAAAAATATTGTTAACTCAGTTAAGACTTTTGCTTCGTAGAGAACCGAAACCGAAACCGATTGCATTTTGAGCAAGGGGCATCAAACTCTGATTTTCGAGGTTACACTATATACGTACAACTCTCATATCCAGACCCGAGCAAATCAGATCGACTAAGTACTTAAAATCAAGCGAAATTCTCTACACCGCACATCCCAGAACCTATGGTCCCCACAACTTTAGTTTGGTTAACGTGAGCCCCACAAATCCCGATTCCGATCCCGCCTAGGTTGTCTTTGCCTTACGTTGTAACTAAAGTATGTGTATTATATATACTGCAGATGTATGTATAACTATGTCTTATCGGTTATATGCCCAACAACATTATTTCTTTGTAAACAACAAAATCGAATATCTCGGAAAATGTGTTCTTATAATTATATTGATTAATGCAATTACAATATATTTACAATTTACCGTTACGTTTTTACATTTTAAATAAGACGAAGAGAAGGAGACAGATGATTAAGGATTAGGATGCAAACAAGAAAAAGATAAAGAAAAATAAAAAGGAGGAGATGAGTAGCAGTTAAAGTGAGCGAGAAATCGAAAGAAAACCAGAAATTTCAAGCAAGCACATAAAAGTATGCAATATTTTGTTTAAAAACAACTTTTTATTAGTTTCTTAAATATAACATAATTACGTACATACACACGTATATATAGGGCTATATATATCTATATATATACATGATAGAAAAATCCCAATCCGGTTCCAAGGTTTAGTAAAAATAAAGTGAAATAAAACGAAAACAAAAAACAAAAAACTTTTGATATGAAATCCTACGCATAATTACAAACTTTTATTGTTTCTAAGACTTAAACTTAAATAAAATGAAAACCAAAACAGACTGACGGACTGACCCCGACAGCATGCCACGCCCTCCCCCGCCCCCATCCTCCGCAGATCCTGGCAGAGTTCGATACACAAGTCGAGAAAGGAAATCTTCAAAAAATAAAGACAAGCAAACGGCAACTTTTTTGGTTGATACATTTAACTATATACAATTATATAACTGACTGACTATACAAAGACGTTACACACACGCATACACACACATACACGCATATACACACATGCTTACATTACATAAATTAGTTAAACTTAGAGTAAACGAAACAACAACAAACACATTGGATAGTAGGTGATAATTGGTGTGTCTTAAATAAACCTTACCCCCTTCCCGCCCCGCCCACTTGCTTATTGCCCAACGCCCCCAAAACCCAAACACTTTTACTAAATTTAAAGCTTAATCAAAACGTTTTTTTGGTAAATATTCAAGAGGACATTTCAGCAGGCAGGCATAAATATTAATTAACATTAACTATAGCAAGGAAAATTATAAATAAAATGTATACAACAAAAACTAAAAAAAATGAATAAATTACATTTTGCAAATTCCACAAAAAAGAACAACATTATTTTGCAAATCTCTCGAAATCCTTTCCCTGAAACCAAACGAGAAATATTTACACTAGCTTACATAGAACTGGGACGAGGACATAAATATTTCAATTGAAAAAAAATGTATGTTAATGTAATTGATCGATTTGGACATATTTAAGTTCGACATTTTTGGCCTTACAAAAAAACAAAAAGAAAGAAACCTAAAGTACTTTATATATATACAAACCATATATACAATATAGAGAATACAAAACTAGTTTTAATTTATACAAAGCAAGGGAGCAGCTTTCAAACTCAAAACAAAAATATCCCCAAAAACAAAAACTTTGTTAAAAATTACCCATAATAAAGAAATTAATTAAATAAACAGACGACACAAAGTTAATCCATAATATAAATTGAAGTTAAGTTGGTTCGAGCGGACGGTGGCAAAAAACATAAATGTATCTTTAAATGATATATGTATTGTTAAATTTGTATGCTAAGTTTTTAGAGAGAGAAACGGTTACATTTTTAAAGAATAACAGAAGATCGCGAACTCGACAAGGTGTAAAATGAGAACATTTAAATTTAAATTTAGCATATATACGGCATAAATATTATGTTACGATATTTACATTTATAAAAAAAACAAAAGAAACCGAAAAAAATCAGAGGTCCCGTATTAAAAAATGAAATAAAAAGAACAGAAGCTATAAACTGGAAAGGGAATTCTGAATCTAAAAAATAACAGAAACCGAAAAAGGTAAACAATTAATTATACAAAACCAAAAACTTATAAAGAAGAGAAGGCAAATTATATATTATATATATGATTAAGTAGCATTAGGCCGACTGTTGCACATAAACATACACCAATCACACATATACACTCACACACGCTAATAGGAAAAACTGCGAATGTCGGTGACAAATGATCAATTGAAAAAAGGAGCTATCATACATAAAATCATTTAATTCTTACGGTGCACAAAAAGCAATACGAAAAAGAATCCGAAAAAAATAAAGGGTACAGTGTATATTGGCTAAACAAAATACTTCATGTGTGTATTTTATTTTTTATTGCTGAATTTTCATTTATTATTCTGAAAGTAGGTTTTCCAGATTTTGAATTCAAAAATTTCAAAATATATTTTACACTTTGATTTTGGATTGCATTTTGGATTTGGATTGCATTTTGAAAATAGAAAATTTATTTTCCCCACCAATATCCACTGTACTTTTTAAATCTTTCCAACACTTTTGAACAACGTTATGACTTTCCCTGTCTGTACAACGTGGCGTATGAGTAACATTCATTGGTCTGCAGATTTTGTTATTTATATTTCAGCGAGGTAGACTCGTAGCATGTTTAATTTCAAACAATACTATTCAGTTTTTTAATGCCACGGCACGAACATAAATAAAACTGAAATCCACAGATAAACCGATATATTATTTGTGTATTGTATATCGGTTGTAAACAAATAAAAAGGCGGAGGCACACGAGTGTTGCACAAGCCAAAAACAAAACCAGAGTAAACATTAGCTATCAAACAGGAATAAAAGACATGTTACCACGTGCATAAAAAGGAGAGGAAATCATTTTTTATAAACTATCACACACTGACAAACACCACACATCACTCACACACACATGTAGCTTTAGTTTACTAGGTGAATTCGTTTTTATATATTTGTAAATTGTTTTTAGGTAAATCGAATTATATATACACACATATATATATGAATCTCGATACATATACACGCATATATATGGAACAGATTATATATATTATGTCATTCTGCATTATGATTATTACGATTATTATGATTCAACACAGAGCCCCGAAAAAGGCAAGCATGAAATGGTGAAACCAAGAAAATCCCAGAATATCCGAGAAAAAAGTGCTGGAAAAGCCGTTTAAGCCGCTATTGAAGATGCCGAGATCGGAAAAGAGCAGAAATAATTCAATTCATTCTTAACAATAAAATGTAATCTGAATTATACAAAACGAAACAAAAAGAAAAGAACAACAAAAGAAAAAACAAAAGAAAATCATAAAGAAAAAATTTCAAAGCGTTTACTTACTTGGAAAATTCGATGGGTAGCGGGTCAGGGGCGAAGTCGACACTTAATGGCCTTTATTATGCCGATTTTCCAATTAAAAATTTCATTAATTGGTTAACGGCATTGTGCGATGCTCGATTTTGCATTTATAATCCACATTAATAAAGCGTCAATCACTTCGGATGGGAAGTGCAGGCATTGGCCAGCGAAGACAGGAAGTGTGTCGAGATATTCGCACGGAAGTGGACTATTTATCAGCCAACTGAAACTCACGGGAAACCGAAAGTGAGTCATCTTAAACGTTTGTTTCAGAGTCAAAGGAGGCAATGCGATTTTGTTGTCTACTTAAAACTTAATTTTTAGACAACATGTCCACTTCTTTATCAACAGAAATCGACAAGGATTGGTAAGGTAAAGGTAATATTTTAATGTGGCGTAATATTTAAAGTGAAACTATTTAGTTTTAAACCAATGAGAATATCAAAAGCGTAGTTTCTATACCCGTTATTTGTAGAGTAAAAGGAAGGGTTTCCGACACTATAAAATATATATATATTCTTGATCAGGATCACTAGCCGAGTCGATCTTGCCATGTCCGTCTGTCTGTCTAACCGTATGAACGCTGATATCTCCGAAACTACAATAGCAAGAAAGTTGGGATTAACCACATGTATTATTGGGCTTCCTACACAGCGAAAGTTTGTTTCAGCAGAGCGACACGCCCACTCTAACGCCCACAAAGCCTTAAACGTCCTTGGTCGTGTGTCTGGTGCCTTAATCTTTACAGATTTCGGAAAACAATAAAAGCAATTTTGTTGTGTTTATTAATACCATCGAAATTTAGAAAAAAATTTGTAAATCGGACTACTCATTAAATAGTTATGAATTCAAGCAGTGAGCATTAGCTTTTCCTTAAGCTGAGTAGCGGGTATCTGATAGTCGAGGTACTCGACTATAGAGTTCTCTCTTGTTTTATTGATCTATCTTTCAAATGAAATTCCTTACCAATTATGTTGGAATTAAGTTCAAGGAGTTTTCGACAACACCTCGGTGTATAGACATCTATCATTTCCATGACGTTTTAATGCTTTTAAGTAAATTAGATTCATGCCTCAAAACCATTAAATTCCATAAGCACTAAGCTAAAAAAGAAGGATTTAAATAAACCACAGCTCATAAAGCTAACTGAAAGGCATTCGACAGGAATGGGAACACAAATTCCCATGTTATTTAGGTCGATTGCAGTCAAGTGTATGCGATCATGAGTCATTTGAGGGCCAACCCGCTGGGCGGAGCAAAATGTCTCCAGAAGGCCAAAACATTGCGGTCGGTCTATGTACAGATGTAAGCTGGATTTCTGCTGGGTTCAGCAAACTTGTGTGGCAATCCGAAATGCTCAATCGTCTAACTCGCTTTTGATGGCCATAAATTAATGCACCCCTCCGCCATCTAATCGGCAGTCTCGGTCTCAGTCTCGGAGGCCATAAAAACGTGCTGCATACAAAAGTCGAGAATCTTGTATGTTGCTTTCCAATACGCAACAACTGAGTGGCAACAACCACAACGACACCTGCGTGCCCCGTTAAAGGCAAATCCATGTTTTAGCCAAAGTA